TCATGATTTATTTCCCCGAATGTGTTTGATTAGAGAAGCAAGACAGATCACACATAAACGGGACAGGTCGAGGCGTACTGCTGGAGTTAACGGCTGATTGAAGAATACTCAATCATAAATGGACCCATATATTACAGTATTGATGAAATAAATATATATACAGATAGATGTATTTAATATTCTGTGCTTGGTGAGGGAAATACACGCGACATCGGTTCTGTGAACACAGAAAACATCTAAAGACGAGGATGTGTTGGTAACTGTACTTTTGGAATGATTAGGAGACGAAGGGTATGTTACTATAGACGTGTATCTATATCACATTTCAGTTTCTAATCAGAGACATTAATTATGGGCTTACATATTGTATATAATTATTGACTCTGTTTTTCACATCCTTACATAACATTAGCTGTTGATAGGGCGTTAAACAAAATAAAACCCAAACTCAACAGTCAACTTTATAAGTTTGGACGTTTTGAGATTACTTCTTCAGTCAGAACTTTTACAGGTAACTTCAGTAGCCAGGACTTTTACAGGTATCTTTGTTATTAAGGACATTTTACAGGTAGCCTTGTTAGTCGGGACTCTTTACAAGTTACCTCGTTAGTCAAGGCTTTTACAGGTAATCTTGTTAGACAAGAAGTGTTACAGGATACCTTATCAGTTAGGACACTGGGTTACTTTGTTAGTTTGTAACAGGATACCTTATCAGTTAGGACACTGGTTTACTTTGTTAGTTTGTAACAGGATACCTTATCAGTTAGGACACTGGTTTACTTTGTTAGTTTGTAACAGGATACCTTATCAGTTAGGACACTGGGTTACTTTGTTAGTTTGTAACAGGATACCTTATCAGTTAGGACACTGGGTTACTTTGTTAGTTTGTAACAGGATACCTTATCAGTTAGGACACTGGGTTACTTTGTTAGTTTGTAACAGGATACCTTATCAGTTAGGACACTGGGTTACTTTGTTAGTTTGTAACAGGATACCTTATCAGTTAGGACACTGGGTTACTTTGTTAGTTTGTAACAGGATACCTTATCAGTTAGGACACTGGGTTACTTTGTTAGTTTGTAACAGGATACCTTATCAGTTAGGACACTGGGTTACTTTGTTAGTTTGTAACAGGATACCTTATCAGTTAGGACACTGGGTTACTTTGTTAGTTTGTAACAGGATACCTTATCAGTTAGGACACTGGGTTACTTTGTTAGTTTGTAACAGGATACCTTATCAGTTAGGACACTGGGTTACTTTGTTAGTTTGTAACAGGATACCTTATCAGTTAGGACACTGGGTTACTTTGTTAGTTTGTAACAGGATACCTTATCAGTTAGGACACTGGGTTACTTTGTTAGTTTGTAACAGGATACCTTATCAGTTAGGACACTGGGTTACTTTGTTAGTTTGTAACAGGATACCTTATCAGTTAGGACACTGGGTTACTTTGTTAGTTTGTAACAGGATACCTTATCAGTTAGGACACTGGGTTACTTTGTTAGTTTGTAACAGGATACCTTATCAGTTAGGACACTGGGTTACTTTGTTAGTTTGTAACAGGATACCTTATCAGTTAGGACACTGGGTTACTTTGTTAGTTTGTAACAGGATACCTTATCAGTTAGGACACTGGGTTACTTTGTTAGTTTGTAACAGGATACCTTATCAGTTAGGACACTGGGTTACTTTGTTAGTTTGTAACAGGATACCTTATCAGTTAGGACACTGGGTTACTTTGTTAGTTTGTAACAGGATACCTTATCAGTTAGGACACTGGGTTACTTTGTTAGTTTGTAACAGGATACCTTATCAGTTAGGACACTGGGTTACTTTGTTAGTTTGTAACAGGATACCTTATCAGTTAGGACACTGGGTTACTTTGTTAGTTTGTAACAGGATACCTTATCAGTTAGGACACTGGGTTACTTTGTTAGTTTGTACGTTATACAGGTAACTTTGTAAGACATTTTCCAAGTAACCTCTTTAGTAAGGACAAGTGTTATAAGGGATATTTTACAGGTAACTTTGGTAGTTGGGGCACTTGACAGCTAACTTGATTAGTCTGGACACTTGACAGCTAACTTGATTAGTCTGGTTAGGACACTGGTTTACTTTGTTAGTTTGTAACAGGATACCTTAACAGTTAGGACACTGGGTTACTTTGGTAGTGTGTACGTTATACAGGTAACTTTGTGAGACATTTTCCAAGTAACCTCTTTAGTAAGGTCGAGTGTTATAAGGGATTTTTTACAGGTAACTTTGGTAGTTGGGGCGCTTGACAGCGAACTTGATTAGTCTGGACACTTGAAAGCTAACTTGGTTAGTCTGGGCACTTGACAGCTAACTTCATTAGTCTGGACACTTGACAGTTAACTTGGTTAGTCTGGACACTTGACAGCTAACTTGGTTAGTCTGGACAATTGACAGCTAACTTGGTTAGTCTGGACACTTGAGTTTTCAGAGAACTCAACACATCCAAAGTAAGATGTTTTGGATTTTGGAAGTGTTTTATGTGACATAAGACAAAACAAATTGTATCGTTCTAAATGTTGCTGTTTTCAATTAATTTCAACACACCACAGTATTATATTTTTTTATTATTATTTTTACATAAGTTTATATGATATTTTTGTAAATTTGTAAATTCAAATTACAGAGTTTGAAGTTAATTGTTTAAATTCAAATTTCAGCAAACTTCACTTATAATAACATGTCAAACGATATCAAGTCCAACATTTAAATTCACATGTGTAGATGTATTGATAATCTACGTGATACCTGTTTACCCCGTTACTGTATTAAACCTACCCAGAATGAATGGAAGACGAGATTATTTGTAAATCACGGGGATGAAAGGTCAACAAGACCCCTGGGATAGGCGTACAGGTATGATAAAGCTTGCAGTAATTGATCGAAATGAGTTTGTATATTTGTGTAGAAAACCTTGAGTAGAGGAATCGTTGAATTCATACCCAATCTGTCCCTGAATTATCTCATTCTTATGTACTTACTGTGAAGAAACGTTTCAATAGCTTGTGTAAGTGGCTATATGTATAATTAAATCCTTACATTGCGAGATACAACTATACCGTCAACGTTAGCCCATTGAATGCCATAGCTGGGTCTGTCCATTGAGTACTGTGTGGGAAATATAAAGGGTTTCCCTAATTCCTTAATGAGGGCGGCCTTTTGTGTTTCCTAAAGGACAGGAATGCTGAGAGTGACACACACATCGTAACCAGACCAGGAAACCTTTAGTGTACGCTGAGCAACTTCTATATTTGAAAGCGGGTGACATGCAATGTTCAGATTATTTTTCAAACAGGTTCAACTTCTTGTCATCCTGTTGTTGGGTTTTGCTTGAAAGAGAGGGGGATCAAGTTTCATGGCCTTCTGTGTTTTTATTTGCACCAAGACATGGCCTCCTGTGTTTTCATTTGCACCAAGAAACTCTGTGTGAAAATGATATCAATAAATCTATTAATAGACATTTAGCAGACAATAAATCGTAGATATTCTTTACTTGAAGAACCACCAACCTACAGAGTAATGTTTATGTCTCCACATCATCACCATACCTGACTGTCCCTAAGTCAGACACCTCTGGTGAAGAAAGCATGTTGAATAAAAAATACAAGACTATTGTTGGGGTTACATTATTAAACCTTTGCTAATCTTTCCCTATAAAGTAATACAGCAGTAGTTGCTATTGTCCTGAATTGACAGATAGATGCTATGTCCCAGGGAAATAGTTCACTTAACTATAGTTTCAAAACTATTTCCCTGTTATAATGAACCAATCAAAACACTAACTGAGATCACATGTCAATCACATGGCCAATATCTGTGTGATCCTGCCACATTGACTAAGGCAATCAGTTTTGAGGTGGTAGAGTTAGTATTCAACCTTAACCCCTCAGCTTGTGATTGGTTGAATGAAACATGGCAGATAATTGTGAAAAGAGTAGTTATGGCTTCCAATAGGTTCCTTTGAGCCTGTGGTCTGCAGTCGATAGAAATATGGGCATAATTAAATAGTTACAATATTGGATTTCAGGATATAGATTATGAAGTCTCTTGTTCCCGTAGAACAGGTATATAGTCCCCAGAGATAACTACATATGTTTATAACAATTGAGAAGGTGAACACAATCAAATAGTGAACAGGTTTGGTTTACATCAGTAGATCAAAACAGCGACAGACTGAACACTAGGGAAATTACTATTGAATTGTCTTTTCAAAATAAACTTATTTCTTCTCCCTTTGGCATTGGGAGAATAATTTGACTTTCAGGGAGAATAAATTGACTGTTGCCCAAACTTACACCACAGGAATCCTGTATAGTATTGGATGTTTCATGCTTCATTTGGAAAGAGAAATGACTTCTATGTGGTTTGAGTCTAAACTGAATTCCGTGACAGAACAAACAATACTTAACTTTCATTTGAAAACTTTGGTCAGTGACAGCCTCAAGGTCGAACTATACACTGCTCCATTGTGATTAAAGAAATTGAATACTTTACTCATAAGGTGTAGCAATATTGTCACAATGTCCATAAATAAATCTACAGAATGTTATTCTTCATTAGAAAAGAGAACCCATTTTGTATTGAACCATTCCTGGTCAATGAGCGATTCATTGAGACTCATAATTGTGTTGTTGTTGAATCTTACAGGGTGAGTTGTAACGGTGGGAGAGTGGAGTACAGGACAGATAAAGATAAAGTCGTATTAAAACATTGTAATTCTGTGTTGGTAAACAGATCGGGCCTCTTATTCGTTGTTACAACACAATCCTAAATTCTTCATTATTCCCGAACCCCCGTTGGAGACTATCCTTCACAACCTGGTAAGGTGTACAGACCCAGATAGCTGGACTAATTGCTGTGTTTCACTGGAATAAGATTGATATTTAAATTTACGCAAACCTGGTGTTAAAATCTGGTTTCTGTGTCACATATTTGTTTCAGGAAAACTGTAGTTCGAGGTTGTCTGTTTTGACTTGAGACTGTGTGGGATTTGGACTTGAGACTGTGTGGGACTTGAGACTGTGTGGGACTTGAGCTTGTGTAGGACTTGAGATTGTGTGGGACTTGAGATTATGTGGGACTTGACTGTGTGGGACTTAAGATTGTGTGGGACAATATTTGAATATTTATAGTATCATTGCATATGTTTTATACCTGTTGTATATATTTGCCATGGGGCTGTGATCGTTTAAAAAAGACTGTGTTTAGGATGGAATTTATGGCTTTGATAAAGAAAGGAGAACAGGATGGGTGACGACAATGATGGGGCGTTGAGCTGTGAAGGGAATCCTACAGGTACACACACTGATGTGGTGGTGGTGTCGTATGACAGATAGTCGTCTGTCCTGTGTCCCCCACAGTACTACTGACCACCACAGCACTCCCAGTGGTCAGAAACTGACCAGTCTGCTGGACACATCTCAGTGACTGGACACTCCTGTAAAGGCAGAACTAGGGAATACATAGAGGATACAGGAATACAAGATGTATACAAGGAATTTCAATCAGCTGTGTGTATCGTATTTCTAAACAGGTATTGCTTACCAGTAGCTTTATATATACAGGTATCTCGCTGTGGTCATTACAAATCTGACCATTTAAATTGTTGGAGCTGAAGACTTGTTCAACCTTGAGGTTTCATCTTTGTCAGAAAAAGAATTTTGTGTGTAGTGAAAAACTGAAGGTGACCTGTGTGGTAACAATGCTGGGTGCATCTTGACAGGAAGTAAAATATAAATCTACCTTGAGCAGAGGACAATTAGCTATACCTGACAGGTAAGGTACCAGGAATACCTGTACTGACTAATTGGATTAAGTTACATTTAACGAGTCTCTATCAGGATATTTATGTATAGACAGAGAAACACTGTTCACCTAGAACGTACCCTGGTGACCATCGTACCCTGGTGACCATCCTTGGATTCAGGCCACGTATCGTTACGGATTATCCTCTTGACCGAGACCATTGTCCAGAGGCCAATCACTGGTGATGTTGCTTCACCCAACAGTGTCTAATGGTCCTAAGCCCCCAGATGGAAACAAGAAATTCAGTGAGGTTCACGTCTGATCGACCGGAACGTTTTTGTTAGGATTATGTGCCATGTTCTTCTTTCGGTTTCACAAACTATTCACGGTCTCCGAGAGTGTGCTTGAGACTTTTACCACATAACCTGTGTTGGTGTGGGTCAGTTTGAACAAAGTATCTCCCAAACAACCTCATCTTCTGTGCGAACATGAGACTTTAAATCACGGACAAATTTTACTTGGATATTAAATTTATCTGATCAACTTAGAAAGGATTTACCTTTGGAAAGTTGATGATCACACAGCGATTGTACAAGTTTCTGTTCAGACAAACTTTGTTTTTAAGTGAAAACTTTTGTTTTACAGTTAGCCTGATAGTGAAGTACACGTCACATCACCTACATGTATTATGATACTGATTGAGAGCCTGTAGCCGAAGTGTTTACCTACCGATAGGTAGCCAGTGTGAATAGAGCCCTCAACACTGTTGACTTGTATGTTGATAGTCTGCCCAATTTGAGAGACGTTTCTGATTTAATGAGAGCTATGAGTTACACACAGATGGAAGTAGAGGATCTCAAAACAGCATCTGCAGTATCTGATCGCTGCGGGGATAAGCAGCCCTAATGGAAATGAAAGTTTAACACAGTAATCTTGAGAGTTTTTCCTTTCAAAAGTGGCGGATGTCAATTTCTTCTGGATGTGTTCTTGGTGAATTGATTTTAATATCACGATTATTGTTAAGTGAGAAGAAAAAATCTGTCTGGGATACTGCATCTTCTGCAGAAACTTAGCTTTGATTCGGTGGAAGTTTATTTATGAAAAAGTGAAATGTGATCGCTTGAGCTGGGGTTTTTTTTGCAATTACAGACAAAATTTTATCTGTGAAGATTGTCCTGCATAGACTTCAGTTATAGAGAAAATAGTACTGAAAACCAGTTTGCATTTAACAAGATATGAAGTTATGTGATGGAGTTTTCAGTGAGTGTATTTATAACGGGTCCTACCTAGGGATGGTATGCGTGTGGATGTCGTGTTTTAGACGGAAGACAACACAGTTTTAGCCTCTGGGATTACCTGGAATAATTAATGTGCTACTCCTTCATACACAAATTGTTTCTTAAATTTGAAATGAATTCAACCTAAAGAGGATCAAGGAATGAGATCAGTGAAGTGAATCTGACCATGGCCACAACTATCACTCGTAAATTTAGCCCCAGGCACAAGACAAATCCTGCAAATTTGAATCACACCAAAAGGTTACGACGGGTGAGTAACAGACTGTCAGTGGCACTGTCAGGCCACGCTTATTGTGACATCATCACAATGAGACCTTCGTTTTGTTCTGTAGGTCATCATCCACTGGTCATATATACCTGGTCAATCATACCTGGGACAGGGGAGTAGATGTATATCTCACACAGATTGATCATCTTCTTTTATGAACCTGTGATATGAAGAGGGAAAATTCTAACATTGTGATTTTTTTTTGAAAAATGTTGTAGACATAATATCAACCTCCAAGTCTTTTTGTAGTTTTAATTGTCAGTAAAGCATATGTGGACTCGTATAGTGAGCATCTGTTACACCATTAACACCCACTAGTTATATAACAAGCGTATTTTACAGGGCTGGGACATCTGTCTGGTATCTGTCTTCACATCAAACACAGCACTGGTATATTTGTTCAACCCTTGACCTCAAATATAAGAAATTCTTACACTTCAGCATTAAGTCAGTGCAGGCAACATAATTACAAGGATGGTTGGAAGAGCTTTATATTGAGTGAAATAATCCCCTTCCTATACCTACAGCCTGTGATTACTATCGGGGGTATTCCCTGTAGTCTTATCCAGGTAAATAGACATGGACCTTAGTTGTTGTATACAGAAGGTCAAATTTCTGTTGCTGTGGCCTACTAATGGGTAGTTTAGTGGCCGTGATTGGTTAATTAATTACAGGTATTATGGGCCAGCAGGTGCCCTATTAGTACCGATGTGGTAGTCCCAGACGTGGGCGGCCAACACTAGAGGTACAGGGGCTTACGGAACTGAGGCTGTTTACAGATAACAGCATTCTAAATTGATTTTTAGGATGTGTTCTCCAATTTAAGTTTGTTTTATTTTTAGTCTTTGAATTCTAGTTTGAGTTTGAACCAAGTAAAAGAAGTTCACAACAAAGCAAACACATAAAACACCAGGTAAATGTTTGTATGTAGTTCATATTTAATGCTAGTAACTGGTCAAAGAAAATGCAACGGCCAGACCAGGTTTTGAAGCCGGAACCTCCAAAATGTAAACCCTAACTAAATCAGCTATCACTAGCCTGGACTGTGTGATCACTGCTGCTGGTTCAACAGGAGTCAAGAGTTCACAGGTCCCAGCGCAAATACTGGTCTGGCCGTTACAGTTTTCCTTTCTTATGACCCAATTGCTATCAGGTTGATTGAAAAATATAAAAAAAAATCATTCAATTATAATACGGGTCCAACACCATAGCACAAAGTTTAAAACTACTGTTATTTATAAACTTGAGGGAACGAACACTTGAACGAACACTTGTTACACAACTGTCAAGATTGAATATTTTAAGTGAAACTGGTTTGAAGATTGAAGATAGAAACACCTCTGGTGAAGTAATAAACCAAGTTCTATCCCCATCAGCTGGTTAGCTAACCTTTACTGGTATCAGATGGCACACACCAGTGCACAAGTACTATGAAGGGCTTCTCAACATTTATAAGGGCCTTGGTGATCAGGATGATAAAGGCTCCTTAACGTTTGCAAGGGTCTAAGTGATTAGGATGATAGAGGTCTTCTCAACGTTTGTTTACAATGTACCACATGTAAAAATGGTTTTTATGCTGTACGTAAGATATTTCATGGATAATTTGAAGATAAAAACACTTTAATGTTATACGGATCATTACATTTGTCCCATACGACTTTGTAGGTAATATCAGGTTGCTGATCTCATTAATTTGGTTGAATGTAGTGTGCCTTTTCAGCAAATATTTTAATTACAAAAGGTTTATAAACTAACGTCTAGTATTATACAACAAACCTGGTGATCTAGGATGAAATTATCACACAGAATGAGTTAATTAACATATTTTAATGAATTATTTTCTTATCTTAATTGAATGTGCGTGTAACTTTAGGGATTATAAACTTTAATGAGACTAGACTTTTTAACATAACGATAAATCAGATTTGTGGTGTAAAGAGTTTAGTCATTGTTACCAAGTTGTAATCTATTTCTAATGTACTTTGCTTTGGTCAATGTGAACTTGATGTAAAGTAGAATAAGACGTAGAAACCTGATCTACTCTGTAGGCGTCCAGTTGACACAAGATCCACACCAAGTAAGGCCTTTGTAATGAGGTGTTAAAAGGTGTTTTATTCAAGCCTTTATCACTGGGTTTTCTTTACTATTTTATGCCTTTATATCTTCATTGCAACAATGAAAATTTCATTTACTTGTTGACCCAGTGACCTATATGTAGTGTTTGACCTGTTGATCCAGTTAAAGTGACCATATATATATATGTAGTGCTTTACTTGTTGACCCAGTGACCTATATATAGTGTTTGACCTGTTGATCCAGTTAAAGTGACCATATATATATATGTAGTGCTTTACTTGTTGACCCAGTGACCTACATAGTGTTTGACTTGTTGATCCAGCGACCTATATGGTGTTTGACTTGTTGACCCACGATGTATAAAGTGTGGTTGACCTAGTGACCTATATATAGTGTTTGACTTATTGACCCAGTGACCTATACAGTGTTTGACTTGTTGACACAGTGACCTATATAATGTTTTATTTATTGACCCAGTTATAGTAACCTAAATATAACGACCCAGTGACCTATATAGTGTTTGACTTGTTGACCCAGTTACAGTGACCTATATAATGTTTGATTTAATTACCTAATTATAGTAACCTATATATATATATATATTGACCCAGTGACCTATATAGTGTTTGACTTGTTGACCCAATTACAGTGACCTATATAATGTTTGACTTATTGACCCATTTATAGTAACATATATATATATATACATTGACCCAGTGACCTATATAGTGTTTGACTTGTTGACCCAGTTACAGTGACCTATATAATGTTTGACTTATTGACCCAATTATAGTAACATATATATTGACCCAGTGACCTATATAGTGTTTGACTTATTGACCCATTTATAGTAACATATATATATTGACCCAGTGACTCATACTGGTATATTGTTTGATTTGTTGACCCAGTTACAGTGACCTACATAATGTTTGACTTATTGACCCAGTTATAGTAACATATATATATTGACCCAGTGACACATACTGGTATATTGTTTGACTTGTTGACTCAGTTACAGTGACCTACATAATGTTTGACTTATTGACCCAGTTATAGTAACATATATATATATTGACCCAGTGACCTATATAGTGTTTGACTTGTAGACCCAGTTACAGTGACCTATATAATGTTTGACTTATTGTCCCAGTTATAGTAACATATATATATTGACCCAGTGACACATACTGGTATATTGTTTGATTTGATGACCCAATTATAGTGACCTATAGAAAGTGTTCAAGTTATTGCCCAGTGACCTATATAGTGTTTGACTTTTTGACCTTTATAGTTTTTGACTTGTTGGCCCAGTTAAAGTGACCAGCTTTGTAGTATTTTCCTTATTGACCCTGACCCAGTTAAAGTGACCAGCTATGTAGTATTTGACTTATTGACCCTGACCCAGTGATCTATTTAGTGTTTGATTTTTTGACCCAGTTAAAGTGACCAGCTTCGCAGTATTTGACTTATTGACACAGTGACAATGTTCCTGATGTACAAGGAATGTGGAGGATTTGTTTGTCCCGATACATAAACCCTCCATCAATAACTACAGCTGGATGACATGATAAGGCAACGATGACCTGGTAGTTTTCTTGCTAACATTAAAAAAATTGTCATGTCAATTTAATGTTGATCTATCATACCTTACCAGGGGAATCCACAGGACAGTCATCTCATATGGGTGTGTACAGGCTTAACATGGTTATCTCAGGGAAAATAAAAGTACAAGAATGGGGTATATATTTTCAGCTTCTATGAACTAGATTGTAAGTATTATTGAATATTCTTGATCTTCTTTACATCCAATCAACACAACAAAGGTCATGTACTGGGCCAATGTCACAGGTGAATTTACCATGTTATGAATTACAGCTGAACGTCTCGCTAAAAAATGATCAACCTGGTCTACTGTCACCATAGATTATTGTCACACATTTTCAGCATAATTTAAATAGTTTGATTGAACTGTTTTGTCGATTCGTTTGGAATCAGGTGTTATCCAATAGGATGATCTATAATAAGTTTATGAGCTCTACCTAAAGGTTGGAGAGCTAGGAATGACAGGAGTTCGGTGTAAAGCTCTGTGTAGGCCGATATTGAGGATCTACCTGGGTAACCTGAACAGCCCTATAATCTAGTTTTTACCGGCCAATGAATCTGCTTTTATAGTTTATGAGGGGGTGTTATAGTCAAGTGTTTTGTCACTTTATTAAGTGACCCTTGCTGCCCCACTCTGTGTGGTCAGTCACAGGATACACCTACCACACAATGACCGGCTGAATGGGGGACGGAAGACAATGACCGACCCTAGGAGGGTCGTGTAGATATTGGTGACCCCAGATTTGGGGGCGTGTATTGGCAGAGGGACCTAGATGTTGATGGAGGGGCTTACTACAATCTTAAGCACATATAAAAACAGTGACCTTGCTTCTCAAAGGATCCGTGTTAGGTAAACGTTTCTATTGATAGGCGCAGGACTGGTCGGATATTGATACTTGGTACAGTATTGGATGTCATAGGGACATAACTGGAAGCACCTGACCCATACGACAGGTAAAAAAGGCTTCCTACTTCCCATTGTGTACAAGTATAGATACAGCTATCTGATCGCTATGTAAGCTACTGGTGGGGTCAGAGAGACATTCTGCTCTCCACTACTGTACACTCTGGGTCCAACGCAAGCTCAAGTGTATGTTTGGACAATTTCATTGACGAGTTTTGTGTTACCTGATTTTGGAAGTGGCTTTTATTTACCATTAATCCAAGCAGAGAGTTTGTGTACACAGTCCTGTTCTAATCCACGTATAGGGTAGGGCCAGGCCAGCCAGGAATTACAGGTAAAACAACACAGTCCTGGTAAGACACGTACCTGCATATTTATGCACAATTTCAACTCACCT